CGGCCACCGTGTGAAGATGGCCGCAAGTGACGGTGGAGACATTGGAGGTGGTAATGGTATGTGACCCGTGATCGATTATTTAACTGTGACCCTTAAAATTCAAACTGTGACTCAAAATTAATTAAGTTGTCACCGAAAAATTTACAGGTGCTCATTTGAAAATAACATGTGACCTGAGTTGTGACTTGTGACCTGGGCTCTGACTTGTGACCTGAGTTGTCGGAATCGGAGTAGTCGCTGGAGCGGTCGCCAGAATTGGCATCGGAGCGGTCGCCGAAATAGTCGCTGGAGTGGTGGGGTGGGGTGGGATATTTATATATATGTGTATATATAGGTTAAAAAATCTGATTTTTGAAATGTGAAAATTGTTTTGTTATTTTTGAAATAGGGTAAAAATAAAGTAGGAAAAGTGAATTTTTCCCGAATATTAATGAGCGTTTGGTTATGGGGTTATATCCGTCAATCGACAGTAAACTGTCCCAATGATCACTGAATTTATATCTGTGTTTTCGATTGCTCATTGAAGTTTAAGATGATAAGTTTTGATCACAAACTTATTCAAACGTTGGAAGTTACCTACTCACATAACATTCGCTTCAAACCTTTAACGAAAATAGTGACACTGCTAACGAAATGCACATGTGGCGTCGTGTCGTTAATAAATTGTCATGTTTTCGATAGCTCACTAACTTTGAAAAATGTTTTCGATCGTTTACTAAATTTTGAAAAGCGAATTCAATTGCTCGCTGAAATTTGAGGTGGTTAAATTTTGGTCACTAAACTTATAAAAATGACCTCGATTTGTTGTTCACTGAAAAATGTGTACCACAAGTGCACGGATTTGCTTAAAAGTAATAAAGTGGACAAATGAACCAGAGATGTAAATCCCACGCAAAATGATTGATGGATGTTCTACACTCATGATATTTATGCCACTTAATTCGTTATTTTGTTATCCTCAAGAGATTTTAGGGCATTCTAATGTGTGTTTCGATGTTGTGATATATGCTGATGAAATTGAAGGAAATAAGCAAAAGTTGGCAAATTGGAAAAACATGCTAAATTGTAAGGATCCAAAGTTCGAGAACTAAAGTGCAAATACTCAAAAGTTGTGTCGGACCTCACAATGAAGATTCAAGAGTGTCATGAGTCAATTGGATGAAGAAAAAAGTCAAACCGATGAAATATAGGCAAAGTATGATCACACATCAATTTTCAACCGAAAAAGTTATGCTCCGAAATTTCGATCTCATATTGAGACTCATTTTTGACATAGTAGACGTTTGAATTGGAAAATGATATATGAATCAAAGTTGTAGACCTTAGAGTTATCTTTCCAACGCATCTTAAATCGCTTTAATCGGATATTGGGATAAAAAGTTATGATAAAAATACTGAAAGACACGTCGTGCTAAATTTTCATCCGAAACTGGATGCCGAGGCGCTGTTGGACGAGAAAAATGGTTTTTGAATTTTTTTTAGGCTCTTTTCTTGGCCTAACACGACTCCAACGCTTCCAAAACTTCAAAATACTATAAACACAACATTTAGGACCTAATTCTAGGGAGAGNACGAGTCGTCGCCGGAGCAGTCGCTGGAATCGGCACTGGAGCGTTTGCCGGAGCAATCGTAGGAATAGTCGCCGAAGCGGTGGGGGGAAGAGATTTTTTGGGGGAAGAATTGATTTTGAATAGTGATATGATGGGAAATGTGTGGTTGAAAAAGAAGATAAGATTATTGATGTGATAGAAAATATTATTTTATTGAAGAATGTGTGGTTGAAAATGAGAATTGATTTACTTTTGAAAATGAGAATTCTTACCAAACATACCCTTTATATATATGTGTATTTATATGTTAAAATATCTGATTTTTGAAATGTGAAAGTTGTTTTGTTATTTTTGAAATAGGGTAAAAATAAAGTAGGAAAAGTGAATTTTTCCCGAATATTAATGAGCGTTTGGTTATGGGGTTATATCCGTCAATCGACAGTAAACTGTCCCAATGATCACTGAATTTATATCTGTGTTTTCGATTGCTCATTGAAGTTTAAGATGATAAGTTTTGATCACAAACTTATTCAAACGTTGGAAGTTACCTACTCACATAACATTCGCTTCAAACCTTTAACGAAAATAGTGACACTGCTAACGAAATGCACATGTGGCGTCGTGTCGTTAATAAATTGTCATGTTTTCGATAGCTCACTAACTTTGAAAAATGTTTTCGATCGTTTACTAAATTTTGAAAAGCGAATTCAATTGCTCGCTGAAATTTGAGGTGGTTAAATTTTGGTCACTAAACTTATAAAAATGACCTCGATTTGTTGTTCACTGAAAAATGTGTACCACAAGTGCACGGATTTGCTTAAAAGTAATAAAGTGGACAAATGAACCAGAGATGTAAATCCCACGCAAAATGATTGATGGATGTTCTACACTCATGATATTTATGCCACTTAATTCGTTATTTTGTTATCCTCAAGAGATTTTAGGGCATTCTAATGTGTGTTTCGATGTTGTGATATATGCTGATGAAATTGAAGGAAATAAGCAAAAGTTGGCAAATTGGAAAAACATGCTAAATTGTAAGGATCCAAAGTTCGAGAACTAAAGTGCAAATACTCAAAAGTTGTGTCGGACCTCACAATGAAGATTCAAGAGTGTCATGAGTCAATTGGATGAAGAAAAAAGTCAAACCGATGAAATATAGGCAAAGTATGATCACACATCAATTTTCAACCGAAAAAGTTATGCTCCGAAATTTCGATCTCATATTGAGACTCATTTTTGACATAGTAGACGTTTGAATTGGAAAATGATATATGAATCAAAGTTGTAGACCTTAGAGTTATCTTTCCAACGCATCTTAAATCGCTTTAATCGGATATTGGGATAAAAAATTATGATAAAAATACTGAAAGACACGTCGTGCTAAATTTTCATCCGAAACTGGATGCCGAGGCGCTGTTGGACGAGAAAAATGGTTTTTGAATTTTTTTTAGGCTCTTTTCTTGGCCTAACACGACTCCAACGCTTCCAAAACTTCAAAATACTATAAACACAACATTTAGGACCTAATTCTAGGGAGAGAACGGTTCAAGAGGCAATGAATAATTCAACACAATTCTTCAACATGGCAAGGAGGAAAAATATCAAGAGATTCAAAAACAAGATAAAGAAAAACAAGGGAAGAAATTGAAAATTTACATTTAATTTTTCTATTCTCTTCTCTACGTCTTTTTATATGAATTTTAGTATTTTCGTAGATTACATCATGAGCTAACTTCATTATCTAGGGTTTGATTGTAGTAAAAAATTTGAGAATATGGATTTATTAATTTTAGTTATTTCTATTAGATTTTCCACATGTACTTATTTGTGTTATGATTTTAATGTTTTCAATTAATTAGCCACTAATTGAATGATTTGATGATAGTCAATTTCAGCACTTAAGAGAGGGGAGTTTAGATGTTATCATAAGAATAACACAACTTAGAAAATTATAGGTTTCGAAAGAAAGTATAATTCCTTGGAAGCATGTTCCATTTAAGAACCACGAA